TTTCTTTTGAGCATACCCCATACATGCTCAATTGGATTTAAGTCCAGGCTACGAGCTGGCCACTGTAATTTTTGTATTCCAACCTCTTCCAGATATTCCTCTACACAATGTGCGACGTGCGGGCGTGCATTATCGTGCATGAGGAGGAATTGGTCGTGTCCAATGAATCCCGAATAAGGCATTACGTGCTCCTGAAGAACTTCCTCGATGTATCGAGTAGCTGTAAGCCGATTATCGACGATGACCAACTCTGTACGTGCGTCGGAACTTACACCTCCCCATACCATTATTGAGCCTCCATGGAAACTCACAGTTTGGGTAGTGGTAATGGGTAGAAACCTCTCTCCTCTTTTTTCTCCACACTCGTTCTCGACCGTCTGGAGCACGTAAAGCTATTCGACACTCATCTGTGAACAACACTCTAGCCCATTGCTCGTGGGTCCAATTGACATGTTCTCTTGCGAACTGAAGTCGGGCTACTCGGTGCTGTCTGAGAAGTTCTGGACCTCGTGCTGGTCTACGAGCTTTTAAATTCACTTCCTCCATTCGTCTTCTCACCGTACGCTCACTAACATTAACGCCTCTTGCGATTTGGAGCCGCTGGCGTATCTCAACAGCGGTCAGGTAGCGGTTTCTCAAAATCTCCATAACAATAAAACGATCGTCCCGGGCCGATGTGCACCTTACGCCCCCACTGCCTGGCCTGCGGGTGTAGCGGCCTGTCTCCTGGTATCGTTTCAGTGAATACTGCATTGAGGACCGTGGTATGTTAAGCACAATAGCAACTTCACGCTGTGTCAGCCCATGGTCAATTAATGCTACTGCTTGTGCAACTTGTGCTGGTGTTAATGGCTTTAAAGCACCTTTAGTTATTTAATTAAGACACAAGATCACAATAATTGAATAACCTTACAGTAAACTTTTCACAACACACAAATTTAAAATGTGAACTTAGTCGCTCAAATGACCCGATTCAACTAAAAATTAAAGAATTCGTCATGGTGCACTTAAACATAATGAATTACCCTCTTGAACTTGAGGGTAAACATTTTTTGACATACTTGCATAACAAACATTCATCAGAAACACTTAAAGCTTTTGCTATCGCGAGATAACCGCTTAGCCAAGTTTCCGTGCCAGTGAGTGTAGTTGCTATTGAGTGTTTTCTGAGGTATCAAATATCTTAGATTTTTAAAAATCCGCACTCTCTTACGTCACGCGCACTCGTGACGTAACAATCTCAATATACGAATACCAAGTTAGACACTCGTCAACTATAATTCCCAAGTATCTTGTAGACGTTAAATGTTTAAGCACTTGGCAATTACAATTTTGGTCGAAGTGGTCCGCACACGTATGGATTCTAATTTTAAAATTAAGGCCTGGTTTAGACCTTATTTACTACCAGGAGAACAACAAATGTAATTTGTTTTAATAACATTGAGGGTTAGCGGGTGGCTTTAAGCCATCTATCTATAACATCTAATCCGTGCTTGGCATTATTGCACACTTCTTCCCACGTGTCCTCAATGTAAACGATGGCCGTGTCGTCTGCGTAAGAAAAGGTTTTCCCACTACTGCTTCGCAGGTTGCATAGATCATTAATATACACTAGAAACAGTGTTGGGCTGAGAACCGAGCCCTGTGGGACAACATAGACAATGTTTTCCTCCTCACTCCTCACTAAGCAAACTATCTATTTTAACTTGCTGTGTCCTACCGCGGAGGTAGCTGTCAAAGAGGGAGAGCACCTTACCTCTTATCCCCTCTTTATCCTCTGCACAAGGATGGGGACAGATACGGTGTCAAAAGCCTTTTTCAGGTCTAGAAACACCGTTACGCATTTATAACTATTGTCTACCTTATCTGTGATTTCAGATGTTAACGCAATGACCTCATCTTGAGTTGATCGTCCCTGTATAAAACCGTATTGTGAATCAGAAATAACGTTGTATTTATTTAAATAACTTAAGTCTTTTATTTTTTTCTCTATTATTTTTGAAAGGGATGGTAAGACAGATATTGGCCGATAATTGTTAACATCACTCTTCCTCCACATTCCCCACACATTATAGCTTATTCACAGACACAAGCGCAACGTGTAAATGTGTTGAACGTGCCAGCTTTAGTTTACTGACTTTTTGTCACTCGCACGCACACACTTAATAATTTTTGATCAAAATAAATTTTAAAATTTACATCAAATTAGTGTTAAAAAAGTAATTAAAGTTAATGAAATAAAATCGTTAGTAAAATAAAATGTTAGTCACAAAACATTGCACAGTGAAAAAGTATCCGGAGTCCCTACATCCACAGCACGATAAAATAAAATGCATCCAAGGCCGCAATGAGTAGAAATAAAAACTATAACGAAAAGATACGCTAATAGTAATTAATAATTTATAAGTCAATTCAAAAAGCATATAAAACACTCTTTATTAGTTGTAATAAAATAACTTTCTTAAATTCTAACGCGTCCGCAAATGCCTAAACCCAAAACCAATTAAATTTCTAATGCTGCGGCTACACTAACTAGACACGCGATAAAGTGAGTGGCTACACTTGAACGGTCAACGTAGTTTCAATTTCAATGCCGTTAAACGGCGTTTAAGTTACCATTGAACGGCGTTAAATGTTTTTTAAGTTAAATGTTCCTTGAATTTCAAGCAAGATGGACGTTGACGCAGCTAGTCTATATTTGATGAGTGTAAATTTTTATTATATGAATATATTTTATCATTGCAAACGAAGAAAAAAAGAATACAAAGAAAAAGAAGATGGTAGATGCTACAAATGCACAGGAAACGTACACTGTAAATCTGTTTATGTTTATTATTTTAAGTTCTATTTTATTTTTCCGCACCCAAATTTGTTCTATAATAACCCATTAGGCTTTCCTTCTTCTTTTTAATTTCTTCAATAGGTGTTTGAAAAGGTAACCGTTGCATAATTCGTCGCCAAGCATCATTTTGCGATGTAGGGGAGAAGTGGCATGGAAGAGCCAGTTTACTAAACGGAGCAAGAAAACATACTTTTAACACATTCACTGCTTAAGATATTAAAATAATTAGCCGGGAACCAAATTTTTTAAAGCGTATTTTGATTATGTATATATGTATGTTTAAAAATATGGATAAAAGTAAATTGTTATTATTATTCTTTTAATAAAAAATAACCTTTTTCGGATCCGAGTGTTCGGCACATAGCGCGCCAGGTGCCGGTCACTCGGATCCGAGCGCTAGGGACAACAATGGTTAAAATAAAACTACTGCACAGATTTCGATAATTCTTTTACCATTCAAAAGCTACATTATTCCTTAGTAAAATAGGCTATAGATAGTAAATAAAATATAATACGCATTTGAATAATTATTTATTAAGGAAAACATTCATAAATCTGAGCGATACAATCATAATTATCAAAAATCAAACCAAAGCCATAGAATCAAAAGTATCAAGTACCTACATAATAATTATAAGTTTAATTGAATACTTGTCATAAAATAAAGGTAAGTCACTCACAGAAAGGTAGAAAGGGATAAAAAATAATCCAAAAACAAGAAAATTTTAACCACTTGATATAAAACAATAATAATGAAATTTAAAACAATAATAATGTAATTTAAAACACTTAAGAATGTGCTAGGCAGAAGCATTTTGTACAGAAACCTGGAGAACCTTCACATTGCTTACATTCATAAATTGTTTGCACACTTTTTTTGCGCTTTGCAACCTTTGCATTCTTTTCGGGCCACTTCGATAGTTTCTTTCGTGACACTTCCTACTGTCTTAAGTCTCGTCCGAGTCTTTTCTATTTTAGTAAGTTCGTGTTTCACTTTCAAAACATTGCGTCGATTGACGTCATTAGGATCAGGTAAAAAGCTTTTCCAGTATCTTCATACGGAAATCATATAGATTTAATTTATCATTCGCCGTTTCATTTATTGTACAAGTGCAATGCATTAGTGAGGCTCATTTGCAGCATATGCACAAACAACTTCTTCTACCAACGCAGCGTCTTCCTTTGGACTGGATAGTATGCCAACATCTGATCTTGAAGATCAACGCCCGACATAAAATCCATCATCTCACTACCATGTTCTGTAGAAATATACAGAAAGTATTGCTTATCCCTCTATTTTCCGACATGAACGCCGTTTAAGAACAAGGATTTGTTTTCTCCTTTTTCCAGTGAAAAATTTTCAGAGCCAATTTCGATGGGATTATCTTTCCTGTTTTTTCTTAACGTTCCTGTGCAGTACGTCTGTCGATCTAGCAATTTCAAACCCAGGCCATAAGAATTGTAGTAATTATCCATATATACATGATGGCCACAGTCCAGTCTCTCTTCTAGTAGTTTGAACACAATCTTACTACTATGTCCTTGCCCTGATGTCGCATCATTAGCTCACTACCATGTTCTGTAGAAATATACAGAAAGTATTGCTTATCCCTCTATTTTCCGACATGAACGCCGTTTAAGAACAAGGATTTGTTTTCTCCTTTTTTCCAGTGAAAAATTTTCAGAGCCAATTTCGACGGGATTATCTTTCCTGTTTTTTCTTAACGTTCCTGTGCAGTACGTCTGTCGATCTAGCAATTTCAAACCCAGGCCATAAGAATTGTAGTAATTATCCATATATACATGATGGCCACAGTCCAGTCTCTCTTCTAGTAGTTTAAACACAATCTTACTACTATGTCCTTGCCCTGATGTCGCATTATTAGCAACGGCGCAAACTTGAAATTTTTAAACTTGAAACCGTACCATATGATTCTGCTAAAACATAGAGTTTAATGCCATATTTATGACGTTTGTTTTTTATGTATTGTCGGAACAGCAACCGACCGCGCCACAATACCATGGACTCATCCAATGATAGCTTTACCTGTACAATAAATAGTTTTCATTTTATTGTTAAAATGATCCATAAATGGTGGGATTTTATTGAGACGGTCTTCTTCACTGGATTCAGACGTAAAGTGTAGGCACCGTAAAATCAGTAGAAAACGATTTCGTGCCATGAATTGTCTGAAGCATGGAATATTAAACAAATAGTGTCGTTCCAATAATCACTTAAACGGTTTAATCGAATTGTTTCTGTGTTAAGAAGGAGTCCTAAAAATGTCAACAGTTCTTCCTTTGTTAAATCTTTCCAAGATTTTATTCTGGAGTTTTGTTTGACGTTTTGTGCATTACCGACTCTTATTGCGTTCGCGTTGGTCTCGCGAACTATAAGATCTAACAACTCGTCATCAATCAATAATCGGAATGCTTCGTAAGGATCAGTTGGAGGCGGCACTAAGAGTTCCTGATCCTTAGTGAACTCTATGTTTTTCATGGAGCTTGGATCACTGCTCCAGGTGGTAGTGGCTCCTTGACCAGAGGGTGAGTTATTGGGTGATAGATAATAATTATCTAGTAATTCCGGAGTACTATTTACAGATCTCCGAATAGCCAGAATTGATGGAGAGGCGTCATTACGTTCTGTCGAAAGGTTGGGGGTGATCGCATCGGATCTCAGAAGAGATACGCTAGGTGTTGAACAGGTAGGGTTTAATAGACAGCTATCTGGTATATCCGGGGAAAAATCTCCATAGTCCTGTACGATATTCGGCGATGTAGGACGGCAGTCAATTTCATAATTGAATTCAAAGCTACCGTCTCCATCAAATTCCAGTTGTCGAGGCGCTGGCTTCGATGCTGAGGAACTATTTGGATCTGGTAACTTCCACGATTGAGCAGAATTATTACGCGTGGGGCCATCCCTAAATGTGGGTCTTAATCGCTTACATTGAATGATAGGCCTTCCATCTGACTCACATAAACCACGTTTTGATGCAGATGAACTTGAAGGTTGAGGTGGTGGTACAAGGCTGGCCGTCTTTGAGGCAGGTGATCTTGAAATAAAATGAAATGAAATTAAGTACAATTTACTGTTATTATTGAGTTAAATTAATTTAATGTCATGCGTTCTTATCAGATACATAGTCATTAGTTAGTCATACCTTGAAGGTTAAGCTGGTGGTATAGGGCTTGTCGTCTTTAGGGCAGATGACCTTGAAGGTTGAGCTGGTGGTACACGGCTGGTCGTCTTCTGCTTCAGTCTAGTATCAAAGATACTATCATCACTGCCGCAACTAGACGAGACCTTTGAACTTGAAGAGTCTTCATCAGCTCTTTGATAATACACATCCTCATTACTATAGTCAGACTCATACTCATCACTATGCCGACGCTTTTTTCTAGAACTACTCGTAGATTTACTTCCAGACGGTCCAGCCTTACTTTCCATTTTAAGGCAAAAATAGCTTTGATACGATCGTGTGTACAAGTCACAATTACACTAGAATGAAACCAATACGCGTTTTCGCAAGTTGAATATGTTGTCAGAGTGGCCGCGCAAACTAACATAAACTCGCCTCAAACGCAGGCGGCTTACTGCCGACTACAAAATACACTGACCGCTCGCTCGTATCCGAGTGGGCGGCACCGCTACTATGCCCCCTCCCCACTCGGATCCGAGTGTTGCACTAAATGTATTAATGAAAGAAATGATGTTTTTTTCATCTTCAGTTATTATTTATTTATTAAAATAGGTAAATGCATACGAAAAAACCTTAAACTCTAAGAAAAAATCAACATAATATTCATTTCCAAAAAAAGTGCACTTATATATATATATATATATATCCAGTGTAAGTTGAACTCCGGTACATTTGAAATAGGTTAACGTGATAAGAATAAAATTTACTTACCGATGAAATATTATGCCATCTTTTTGATAACTAGATGTTTTAGCTGACTTGCCACACCATTTCACCGTATTTTGGATACCAAAATTATTTTTAAATTTTCAAAAACTCGGACGTGCCTACGGGCCACAGGCCTGGTCGTCAATAATAATAAATAAATAATAAATCATTTATTCTGGACCAAACTTTTTATACATTGTTCACACCCACCAAACTGCGTAACAGTTTGTCGGCGGGATTAGCGCTTGTCTTAATACATTTGGTTCAAATACGTAACTATAAACTAATGAAAATAAAAGTGTAAATAAAGCAAGTTTAAATTTTTTTAAACCGGTATTAAACTATTATTAAGAAATATTTACTAAAATTTAGCCTATTATAAAAAAAAAACTACTGCTATTATTAAGAATTACTAACATTTGGCCTATAGAAACTACTACTAATATTAGGATTTACTAACTTTTTCACATCTCTCAACAACTGCGTTAAGGAAAACAGTTTTCAATTTATTTTTTAATGTTTGTTTACTTATTCTAGTATTATCTTCTCTCAGCCAATCGAGGTCATTAAAAAGTGTGTGGGTCAAATATTTGTTGGTTCTTTTCCCATAGTAACTTTTTACTGGTGGTCGCACGAGTTTACGCTCTCTAACACTTCTAGTATTATACCTATTTTGCACTTGTTCTTTAAATTGGTCGTTATAGAACTGTTCAAGAACCAGCAGGCACTTGACCTTCTCATGTACAGGAAGCATTTTACATCCAAGAAAACGTTTTTCATAATTGTCTTTACATGAAATTTTTGTTTGTGGTTTGACAAGGTATTTTATAAAACGGATTTGCAACAATTTTATACTGTTAAGATAGGTTTTAAATGTACGGCCATACGTATTTAATCCATAAGTTAGTAATGACTCGGCGAGAGCAAAATAAATGACGCAACGATTTCCTATTCAACGGCTGCATTCTGGATATAAAACTTACTTAACACTGCCCTGAGCTTTGTACACACTGCGTCAACCTGTGTTTTCCAATTCATATTATAGTCCACCCACAGACCTAGATACTTAAATCTACTTACATACTCCAGCTTTTTACAAATACAATTTAAATTTCTATCGTGCATACATTCATAAGTGTGGCCCACAATACCTATATCCACGCTCTTGACATTTTTTGCCACTAAGTTGTGCCGTGAGTACAGATGCATCACTTTCGTCTTATTAATGTTAAGTATGATACCATTGTCATGAGCCCAACGAGTAACATTATCGAAGTCAGCCTGCAGCACAGCCCTGACCTCTTGTATGTTCTTAGAGGAATATATAAGGCACATGTCATCCGCGTACATATATACTCGAGATTTTTTAACCACATTACTGACGTTGTTAACATGCATAACGTAGCCAACGGGACCATAGACTGAACCAGTTGGAACACCAAGCTGTACCGCTGCTTCTTTACCAGCAACACCAGAAATGCAGGTTTGTAATGTTCTGTCACTCAGATAACTCCGAAACTACCTATTTGTTGGACCCCTGATTCCACACTCATCCATGGCCTGTAACAGCATCTCATGATCCAAGGTATCGAAAGCTTTTTTAAAGTCTATGAATCTATGATATCGTGATTCTTAGCGTCACTTCATATGCTATCTACAGCAAGTATATGTTGCGCGCGTTTGTGGTCCTGTATGCGGAATCTATTAGGAGGTAATCTGTGGTCCGCTCAGAACAAATCTTGCACTGAAACCAATCTTGATCGTAATTTTCATATAATTTGCTGCAAACTACGCAATCATCACTATTTTTGTTTGTTTTGGAGTTTGTTTAGCTTTGAACAACCTTTTTTTTTACTTCAGCCAGTATGATAGAGTCAGACTAATCAGAGTCATCTTTTCGGAATTTTCTTGATTTTTTCTTGATTTTCTATTAAGGGTTTTTATGGACTGTTTTGTGGTCATTTTATTAAAAATAATTTTAGTTTTTTTGCATTACCCTCTTTCTCTTCTAATTTTTTCTTTTCGGGAGTATCAGTCACGATGGTAGACGACATTCTTTTATTATTGCGTGTCGAGTTTTGTGTTGGCCCCCGCTTTAGAAAATGGTCTTATCATTTCTGGTGACGTAATTTGTTGCCTAGAAGTACTCGGAATCGCAACCGCAGGGGAAGAGGTTAAATGGGGAGATGGTCTGATAATCTGGTCTGTAACAATATCGTTGTCCTCACGAGCTTCAAGTGTGTGTAGAAGGCGGTGTTATTTTTTTTTTCAATTAAAAAAAATAATCTTTTTAATATTATCCAAAGATCGAATTGCCATAGCTTGTGACCTATCATTCTTACGCACCAATATAGTTCCATGCTTAACCCACACATACTTGTATTCATTAGCTTTAGCTGCATTTCGACATTCACGAAATAAAATCTTATTTTTTAGTGTCAAATGCTCATTCACATATATATTATGCGATGGTCCAGAGACTGGTAACTTCTCTGAATTTAAATTTTTGCGTACACGGCAGGCAGCGAGGAAGTTGTCACGAAGAATTTTTGATGAAAATTGTACAATAATATTTTTTGGGCGAGAATCCTTGTGGTCAGCATGAGGAACTCGATGAATTGCGCTGATATCAGTCGAAAGAATTTTTTGGTCAACTATAACCCCCAAATTAGTTATTATAGTAAAAAAGATTTTCGCCTTTTTTTTTCAGGTAAATTTGAAATTTCAAGATTATTGCTCCTAGCCTGTTGTTCCATTAATGATAACTTATTTTCCAGACCAGCATTCCGCTCCGAAACCTGTTGGATTTTTTCTTCAAGCACTTTAATACGAGCGTCAAATGAATCTTGACGTAACTCAGAGGAACATAGTGTGTTATCGATATCCATAAGCTTATTGTTAACTTCCAGTAACGAATTTTTTAAAGCCGTATTATCTGAAATTATCCCGGCTACGGCCAATTGGATGTTAGTTAAGGCATCCGTTATTTTGGTGAGCTCAGCAGACAAAACAGAGCGCACCGAGTTTGTCACTAATTTTTCTATGTATTTTTCGTTTAAGATATTGTTGGAAAATATCGTACTATTTTCGGATGTGTCGTCCATTTCTTTGCGCTTTCTACAAGTAACGAAGTTATTGGTAGAATCGATTTCACTGTGCAGATCTGGGCTTGACATACACTTTATCTTTTGCGGAGGTGTACGTTGCATCGCAAATACACAAGTGAGAAGAAAAATATGCACTTGCCTTTCGGGCCTAAACCCAAAAAGTCAATATTCATTCATGGCAATGCGGTATCTAGTTTTGAAAGGCCCATATACCGTAACATCAAGTGGTTGCAGTTTATGACTGCAGTGCGGTGGGAATGTAACTATAATGATTGAATTTTGCCTGGCAAATTCAACCACTCTGAGATTCATATGACAGCTGTGATTATCCATTAAGATTAAGGCTGGATTTGATGGCCTAACATCCATCACAAAGTGTTTAGGCGTTTTAACAAAACAATCCTCAGTCCAGAAGCTTAAGCCAACCCTAGAGCTCCAGGTGGACCATTATTTAACATATGATCTTTTAGTTTTCTCTAGGAAATACAAAAATAGGCGGTAAAAACCACCAGCAGCATAAATAAAAAACAGATATGTTCAGCTGAGGTAACTTGCCCAATTTGTTTCGAACCCCTTTGAGCTATGACTTTAGGAGGATTGGTGACGGTGCTGCAGCCTGTTTCATCAGCGTTAAAAATCATATGAGGAGGAAAATTGTATTTGTCAAAACAGTGCTTAGTTTCTGAAAAAATGTGTTTACATTAGTTTTATTAATACTTGTTGCACGGGATGGAGAAGTGCAATCAGGTTTTCTCCCAGTTAAATCTTTGTGTATGCTCGTAAAACGTTTGAGCCAATCATCACTCGCAATTTTAATTTCCTTCCATTTATCTGGAGTGATATTATTGGCCATGGTATAATCAAATGCCATTTTCTTAGTTTGTTGTCTTGTTAGGCCATAGCACATTTTAGAAGCAGTCTTTAAATAATCCACAAGTATATTCCTTTGGTCTGTCGTAAAAATACGCTTATTTCCTATATTAGGACAGTGTTTATAGATTGATTCACCAGAAGCCTTTATTTTTTTAACTATTTTAGCAAGTATGCCCTCGATATATTAAAGATAAGTGCAGTTTTGTTTATGGACTGATCTTTCTCCAAAACTTCACTGACTGCTTCTTCAATTACCGATTTTTCTGGTCTTTTTCGTTTTTTTTTTGGACCAGGTTTCTCCATAATGCTATATCTGAATCAAATAATTTAATAATATACGAAAAAAAAAATGCATATTTACTATTATTTTATTTTATTCAAAATATTTAAATGCAGGGTTATGAAAGAGCCAGCTCTTTTAAGGCCCTTTCATAACTTATTATTTAAAAAAATATAACCTTTAAAATAACTACAACATCAAAACATTTGCAGCTCAGTTTTTACGCAGCTGCAAGGCCAAGTATATGCACAAACTTAATCTACAATCCATTTATCTATATCTTTTTACAATAAAATACTAAAAAACCAGTTTAATGAAGCAAAGTACTTACTTTTTAGTACCAAAAACATCGACTCGATATACCGGTGTCAATTGGTTTCGGCGGACTGTCAAATGTTTGTGGGTGACGGGGAATCAATGTTGCTACTTAAAAATAAAATTATCAACCAAATATGTTCATAAACTACCAAATTAACGCAAGTGGTTCTTTCAAAACCTGGCTCCTTCATGCCACTTCTCCCCTACGATTTTTAAAACTTAAGTCTCGGATCCCACAAACATGACTGTTTGCAAGATCACGAGAAAAGTAACTTTTTCATTACTCCACTCGCCCATACGTTGCACTCACTGTGCACAATGAGACAAACGTAGTGTGGCCGCTTCAACGCGATAATTGGCGCGTTAATCCTTTGATGTACCGCCACTCGAGTTATAGCCAAACGGGAAACGGCATTGTTAATCCCGTTATCAAATTATCGCGTTAATTCGTGGTCACACCTACATACAACGTCCATCAACGCGATAATTAACTGCATTTGTCGTTAGTGTGGCCCGGCCATAAACAGTTTAGCGAAAGTTTGTTAGTATTTATTTAAGTAGGTACTTAGTTTACTTATGTTTATTTACAATAATTTGCAAACACGGCGAGATATCTTTTCGGATAATAAGCTAAAATGGAAGTTATTGCATTGATATACGTAACGGATTCGGTCAAACGATAATAGAGAGGCATTCATTGGCTTTTGTCTACGCTAGTACTTTTTATTAGTTTGTGCTCTTGACATTGATTGGCTACTGACCGATTCTCAAATTACATTTACGTTTGGTGTTGGTTTAATGACGTATTATCGAGATATAGATTTGTTATAAGTTCATTACATCAGAAATCGTTATTTAACTAGTATACCCCACGTACTCAACTGATTCGTAATCGAGGATATATGTAGATGTCTATCTATGGGCCACAGCAACCACTTACCATCAGGTGGACTGTGTGCTCGATCTGAGTGCAAAAGCATTAAGAATTTGCATTCACAGCTATATTATGGGAAGCCAGATTATCAGGTGTAGCTGTAATATAAATTTAAAAAAATTGTAATAAGTCTCTAGTTTATAAAGTAATTAATTTATGGTAAAATAACAGCATATTGGAGCATAGCAGTAGTAGATGTAGATTGCACCTTAAACATATATTTACTCTCTTATTATGCCTTATGCTATAAAAAAGTAATATGTATGTTGTACGTTAATCTTATTTATTAAAAAAAAGTAACCATATAAAATGTAGAGGGTAGACCTTATGGTACAAGAAAACTTTACGACTGAGGGAAAATGAAACATGAGATGGGCAGCAGCAGCTTCCTCATAACAACTCAAAATAATGACATAAATAATGACGTGACAACTGAGGCAAAATGAGGCATGAGGCAATCTAGGAGAGAGAGACCTATGTTCAGTAGAGGAATTTCACGGGGTGTAATGGATGGAGTTTATTAGTTAACATTAGGCTAAGTTGCTACATTCAATTTTTCTTACACTCGCTCCTTTATTCCAGGTGGTGGATGGCGATGAAGACGCGGAGCTGTATGGTCCCCCGCAGTATTCACCATCAAGGATCGCACCAGATGTAAATATTTTGTGACATTTGCCTAGTTCCTTTTTTTTATAGGATAGGGTGACAAACGAGCACACAGTCCACCTGATGGTAAGTAGTTACTGCGGCCCATAGACATCTACATCTATCCTCGATTACGAATCAAAATGCAGATGCGTTGTCACCCGTGAGGACTAAGATGGAATGCCTCGTTTCCAGTAAAAAGGGTCTCCGATTCTCTACACTCACCATACGAAACACAGCAGCATTAAGCTACTATTTCACGCTGGTATTCTGTGAGAATCCTATATTCATATTCAAGAAATATTTACTTCTACAATCCTTTACAATCATTCCATTATAAAATAGATGAGAGTGGAATATTTTTTATCGGTCCAGAGAAAACCTCTCGAAAAAATCGGGATTTTTTTTTGAGTTATTCCATTTATCCACCCCACATCGGAATTCGTATATTATTTTTCTTCCAATTTTCCCACTCGGCTGTGTACAGTTGTTTATAAGAACATGATAGAAACTGGCCCAAGATTACTTAATAGACATAACCATACTTAAAAAATACATACATACTTCTTCTTCAAAGTTCAAAACGTAAATACTTTTAATGGTTCAATTAGATATCATTCGATGTGACATAATTTACGTCATTTAGGAGATATCTTATGATGAAAATAATGTTTTACATACTGCAATTAATTTCAACTATTTTATTGAGGTAGGTATTTAAATTAAATAAATCACAATTTTTAAAATGTCTTTTATTGAGAGGCGAATTTGTACAATTACGTCTACCCAATAATGAAATTAGTGTTGATCATTTCCTGGGCATATTGCAGAATTTATAAATTACTTATTATTATTTAAAACAAGAAGTTTAATTTAGTTTAAATGCAATACGTATAGTGTAAATGCAATAAGTATAAGTTTGTGGTTATAAAAATTAATCATTAATATGTTAAAGTATGATTATATGTTCTTTTGAACTGTACTTGAGGTGGAAAGGCAGAACAACAATCAAAAAGTGAATTCCAAATATCCATCCCGTCTAGGGTGATTAAACGAACACTCGTTTACGAGTATCCACTCTGGGATGGATAAACTGATTAACCCGATTTTTTATAGAATCAGGGAGACAAATGAGCACACAATCCACTCGATGGTTAGTTGATGCTGTGCTGTGGCCCATAGACATTTATATCTATCCTCGGTCAAGAATCAAAATGAAGATGCATTGTCATATCTGAGAACTAAAGTTGTTCAAAACTATAAATCATTAGCACGCTACAGACTATAAACTATAGATTTCTAGCGCGCTATTAATACGCTACGTTATAGCGCGCTATTTATAACAAAGCGTGTAGGAGGCCAGCTGGTGCGTTAAGTTTTGCAGCACGCTAAATCTCGTAGCACGTTACATTACATGTCGTTCATTAGATAGACCGCGTGCTATATAAGAACATTATTTCTTAATAAGTTGCATTTTAGACTAAAATAAAATAAAGCAGTAAAGAAAAACCAATGAAAGCTTTTTCATACTTTTCAGGCTTACGACTTTCTATAATCCTTAAAATATTTTTAATGCATGTACTTTTTTAAACCAAATAAAATTAAATATTTTTTATCATTATTGATTTAAACGTTATTTTAACCTTAATATAAATAATAAATCAAATAAAGGTGTATTTATAAGTTTATTGATTGTATTTATAAAAATCAACTATTTACATGCACTATTATATACACTTTTGTATCTATATTTTATTTACATTTAAAAACATTAGCTAGGCTTCTTTTATAGCAGACAACGGTATCCTTCGATCACTTATAAATATACAGTATACACTAACTAAACAACGTCTAACACTAAATCTCGCTAGTCATCGCGCGCGATATAATGTAATACTTACATAGCACGCGCTATGTGTTATGAAGAGATAGCGCGCTATAATATGGCGCTGTGCGCTATATTAACCACTATTACTGAGGACTAAGATGGAATACTTCGTTTCGAATAAAAACTATATCCGTTCTACATTAGCAAGGAAATAATTCACGCTGGTTGTCCTTCGCCGGTCGAGCCCACTCATTCGTGCTACAACCATAATATAGCTGAAGCGTGGCTCTACCACGTATAAAACGTGGACGAGAACTTATTTCCATAGTAACTATTACACAATATAATAGTTTGATCGGGGAAGGACCACGCTCTCACAGAATACCAGTAAAAAAGCTGCTCCATATTCAATGCTCAATGCTCAAAACATCAACATCTTCCTTCCTTCCTTAGCTCTAAGGTTATTGTTAAAAAATGTCGTAAGGGTATTAAGTTTATATAACTTTAAAAATGAAGACACTTAATTTAAATCCATTTAAAGAACTTTATCTATATAGGAAGCCAGAGGTTAATATATTATAATGTCTTTTTTTTTTTAATTTCTAGGCAGAAATACCTGTAGTCGAAGATAGACACGAAGAAGAAAACCCTGGGATTGACACAGAAAGGCAAAACGAGCCTGAGAAGATATGCGAGCCATCGAAGCCGAATGGATTGGTAGAAGCGAGTGCGGAGGTAAAGATATCTTTGTTATTCTACATTCAATTACAGGCTGTGAAGCCGAGAACACATCCGTAGCCGTCTTTGTTTGCAAATATCCATGGACCGCATTAATTGTAATGTTATCAAGACCGAATTTCGGTCATGGCGGCCGGAACGGATGCTAGTTTACAAGTCTGCGCTGGATTGTATTATAGTACACCTGTGCTTGCCACAGGTGCACTCTCTGTTGCCTCACACTTATAGTCCGATGGGTCGGCAATCCGACACGATCGTAAAGAATTCAAGCCCAAGACCAGCGGCTTGACATACTTTCTGAGGCACGGGAGTAAAACAATGCTGACTTCCTGACTGGTTGTCGTAAGAGACGACTGACGGAAACAAATCGGGAGATGAGCATCAGCGTCTTCCTGATAGCGACTAAAATAAAACTTCAGATACCCTCCTATATCTTCACTAGTCCGTAAACTTCAGAAGTGGACTATTGTAATTGAGCCTCTCCCGTTGTAATGAGTATTATATATCGAAGGACGAAGTACTAAGGGCGTTATCACACTGGCGATATACGAGCGAGTTCAAAGCGAGGCGAGTGCGCAGTGAGCTCGCCGCGAGTTCGCAACGAGCTCGAGCACGAGATAATATAGCTGCTGCGTTGCACTACCACGTAAAAAATAATCCTAAAAAATTGTTTTCCTACCCGCTAATGACAAGACATGCATTTTACGAGTTGTTGCATCTGATAAAAAATGACTTAAGACATGAGTACACACGCCTAAGATTATCAGCGTTTCCTGATCGCTCGCTGCGCACTCGATTTGAACTCTCTTGCAAATCGCCAGTGAGATAAAGTCCTAAACGTGTGCACCTTTAACGATGCTGCCTTTTGCCGGTCTAAGTATCCTACGTCTAACGTAATCGAGATCAGAGAATCGGTTATACTGCCATGTGTTGGAATCCATTAGATATTTCTGGCATATCCCACAGCCACGGCTTACGATAACCATAGGGTGATGTGGGCTAATCACTGACTTCTATATATGGACTGGCTATACACTGTGACATAATAAGGCGATTTGATTTGCTCCATTTTGTCGCTGACAACAGAAGTGAATGTAAACGAATCTAATAATAGAGATAAGACAATTTGACAAAATGTATCGATAAAAATTCTATACCCTACCTATATCTAAATAAATAGAATGAACGTTACGGGTAGGCCTCTACCCGTTACATCCATTCTATTTATGTCCCACATCGTCATTCGTCATCATTACAGCCCTTCACAGGCCCACTGTTGAACATAGGCCTCCTCCAAGGAATGCCACAAAGCACGGTCCTGAGTCCTGATATCCTCATTTCTAAGTTTATCACGCAGAGAAACCACGAGTATATCTCTCTCCCTAGCTCGCTGAGCGACCCAGTATTATAATAAAAGATATATATAAATTACTCCTCATTAATCTCATTTCAGACACGAATACAAGCTCTCAAAGCAAAGATAAAGGAATTGGAGAGCAGACAGAACTCTGCGGCTGAGGTAAGTGTTTTCTTTATCTGACCTGCTCAAATTTCAAAAACTGTTAAACAAAGTCTGTATTAGTATTAAGTATTATAATGTTAAGGAATTTGTGAATGACAATAACTCCTGAAAAAGGTGATTGCTACCAAACTATTTCTTATAACATTTGTAAACATTGTAAGCTGTTAAAAAGTATCACTAGGTTTATTGTTGGATCCTCATTAGACAGAGGCTTTTTTCGAACCAGTGGTATTTAAACAAAAGAGTGACTTTCAATAAATGTTATTTGTAATCTTTTTTGAATAAAAGTTTCACTTTCTGATTATTTCTTCAAGGGGCGAGAAGGGGACATTTGCTAGTGTACTGTGAAATTTACAGCAAGCGCGTAGCGAGAGCGTAAGAGAGCCGTGGTAGCTCAGATGGTTAACGCTCGCTGTAAATATAACAGAACGCGAGTAACCCGGGTTCGATCCCCGCCGGCACCAATGAAATTGTTAATTGCAATTTTAAGTACTGATTTACCACGTGTTCGGCGGTGAAGGAAAACGTCGTGAGGAAACCGGCATGTGTGAAGAATAAGAAGAAAAATATTTCGAAGACATGTGAAGTTCGCCAACAAGCATTGGGGCAGCGCGGCGGACACTTCCTTGCACTAAAACCTTATCAGATATGAGGGGAGGCCTGTGCCCAGCAGTGGGACGTATATAGACTGTAACTTTACTTTACTTTTAATATGTTATTTATTCCAAACCTGTTCTATTTCAGGCAAAATGTTTGATATGCCTCGGACCGCACATATCCCCCGCGGTGTCGATCCAGTGCTGGCACGTTTACTGTGAGGTAATTTTTTTTAATATTACTTACTTTAATAACTGCAACTAATACTTGGCAGAGAATAGAGTGAATGGGGCACTACACTCTATTGTGAAGAACCAGAATGTATCAAAAAAGGCACGTATGGTAATTCATAATGCTGTGTTAGTCCCTACTTTAATGTATGGTAGTGAAAGCTGGGTGTGGCAGAAGAAGCACGAAAGTAGAATAAATGCTGTAGAAATGCGGTCTTTAAGGAGTATGTTAGGGTTGAATCTGAATGACAGGTTGAGAAATTGCGTGATAAGAGATAAATGTGGTATGCAAGATGATGTTGTGACCAGGATTAAGAAAGGAATGCTTCGGTTGTTTGGTCATGTAGAAAGAATGAATGAGGAAAGAGTGACAAATCAAATTTATATGGCAGAAGAGAATGGCAGAGTCGGAAAGGGACAGGGAACAGGGAAAAAAAGTTTATCGACCAAATTGGCGATATTTTGAAAATGGGACACGTTAAAAGTACCCTTAACCGACGAGCATGTATGCGTAGATATATGGATGTTAAAGAGGCGAAAGAGGTATGTCAGGATCGTGTCAAATGGAAGTCCGTAGTCTCTGCCTACCCCTCTGGGTGAAGGGCGTGAGTATTTATTTATGAACTAATACTTGGTGGTTAGGTCTTCTTTCCGCCTGGGATTCCGTCTGGATAGATTGCAGTCTCTTACGTATTTCAGTCGTCAAGTAGCAGTGCTCGTGCTGCTGTGTGCAGTTCTGAAGGGTACAGAGGGCCAGTGTAGTTACACGCTTTGAGGCATACGTGGTAGAGCCATGCTGCAGTTATATTGGTAGTATAGTTGTAGCACGAATGGTTTGGCTCGACCAGGGAAGGACCACGTTCTCACAGAATACCAGCGTCAAATAGTAGCTTAATGCTGTTGTGTTTGTATGGTGAGTGTAGAGAACCGGAGACCCTTTTACTGGAAACGAGGCGTTCCATCTAAGTCCTCACGGGTGACAATGCATCTGAATTTTGATTCGTAATCGAGGATAAATTTAGATGTCTATGGGCCACAGTAACCACTTACCATCAGGTGGACTGTGTGCTCGCTTGTCACCGTAACTGCTATAAAATACTTAGAGAATATTTTTTAATTTACAGTCATTTCACTAGGTGATAAGCCATGTTTTCTGCCAAGGGTTACATCTGAGGAGGCACCAGCCTTTTACTTGTTCCTGCCGTACTGCGCCGTGCCTCTTAGCAGTGCCTGCACTACTGTGTTCATGTCTGAAGGGTACAGAGAGCCAGTGTAATTACACGCTGTGAGACATTACTTCTTAAACCCCAGAGGTGACAACACATCTGCAGCTGTCTTTTGAAATTCCCTGCAGATGTCCGTGGACTGCTATAACCACTTACCATCAGGTGGACTGAAAGCACGTTTGTCAATTTAATTTTATTAATAAAATACAAAAGTTTTTACTTGACTTTTTACACTCCTAATAATTTGTTGTCACTCTCTCATGACTTATGTGATATTTTTTTATAGCATTTGTTGACAAACGAGCTCACAGTCCACTTGGTGGTAAGTGAATGGTGTGGTCCATAGACATCTACATTTATCCTCAATTAGGAATCAAAATGCAGATGCGTTGTCACCCCTGAGGACTAAGAGGGAATTCCTCGATTCCAGTAAAAAGGGTCACCCGTTCTCTACAGATACAGATTCTCTAAGAATTCATAGAGTAACCAAAAAATAGTGGCTTCTTAGGTTTTAATTTTAGCCAGAGCTCATGTTGATCACGCACTTCAGTACAGCCCTTCACAAGTCCACTGCTGAACATAGGCCTTCGTCAAGCAATACCACAAGGCTCAGACTTAGCCGCATATATCCTTACCATTTAGTGGAAGAGACGCCAAACACTGCACTTGCCAGTATAATGCTACCATATAAGAACCATTTTCCCCATTATTTACACTTCAGCTTACTTTTGAGTATAGGAAATAAGTGATATTCCAGTTTGATTTAAACATATTACGACTACCGACTGCTCCTACTGTTTATACATTTCATTGTGATGGCTCTGATAAATGTATAGTTATAATAATAATAATCATCGTTACACCCTACCAAAGTCCACTATTGAATAAAGAATTCCACACTTGGCAAGCGGGTTTATTTTTATTTTAAGTCGTTATTAAGAAAAAAGAAACTTCAGAAACTGTTATGTGAAAATAATTTTATTTTTCTTAGTTTTTAAATAGTTTTTACGTTTTATTTTGATTCTTAATTGAGTATAAATGTAACTATGTCTATACGTATATAGGCCACATCCTCCACTTACCAAAAGATGGACTATGAGCTCGTTTGTCACTCTTCTATATAAAAAGGTGTACTTACATTTATAGCATGAATTTAACCGTTTGTAACCCCATGTCCTCCAGTCCGAATTTTGTTTAAGACGTCCAGCCTCAACGGAGACTAGCCATTGGCGTAGGACATGATTATAGTGCCCAAGTGTACGCACAAACACAGTGCACTCTATTGCCTCACTCTGATAGTCCGATGGGACAGTAAACCGACACGAAAAGAGAGATATCAGGCGCAGGACCAACGGCTTTACGTGCTTTCTGAGGCAAGGGGGTGAGACACCGCCAACTTCCTGACTCCGAGTTGCTACTCAGAATTTCGTAATGGAAAAGCTCACTAACCGATTTTTCGGCCCGACCCGAGATTCGAACCCGCGACCTCATGATCAGCAGTCGCACTATTATAACCACTAGACCAAATAGGTGTGTCTGTCTGTGGCATCGTAGGTATCGTAGAACTGATAAACCGGTTTAAATTTAGTTTTTTTTTTTGTTTGAAAGGTACCTTGATCGAGAGTATTCTTAGATGTGATTCAACAAAATCTGTCAGTCTTTTTAAGATCATCACCTTTTTTTGTTTCCGGGAATTTTAAAATTTTCAGTTTAAGTTATTAATATCGAATTAATATTTCCAGGTCTGCTGGCTTCAATCTTTAAAAGCAAAGAAAATATGCCCCCAGTGCAACGCGATAACAAGCGCACATCATTTGAGAAGAATATACATGTAAAGTGTCCAGTACACTGAAATATGTACCGTGGATGTACCAAATTTACATTTATGGAGAGGACGAAGGAAACCTCATGGAGCCATATACAGTGGTCTCCAGGTTTAGAGCGTATATCGTAAAACCCATAAGCAATATGGCAACTCTTAAAATGTGAACACGATAATTTTTGGGTACGGTCTGCAAAAAAGGTGTTCATGGATCATTCCTTACACAAAACTGATTAACTGCGTTGATTATACGGAATATTAATAATGTTAATAATACTGCTGGTGTTGTTGAAAACAAGTTTCACAAATTTATATCGATATTTTTTTTTCAATTTAGATAATTTTTGTTTTTAGTTCTTATAAATGTAATCTACAACGGTTTACAGAGAAAAAGCAACTGGAAACATTTTCTTGTTGGTCTGTCGTACCAGGTGGAATGTTGTAATTGATTTTAAACAAACCTCCCGATGAGCTGGAAACTTGAAATTTTGAATATAGCTCAAATTCGGATGACAATGCAAGAATATGATAAAAAACGTGTTACTATTTCATTTATAATTACAAATTTTTGATTATATATTAAAATTAGTTTACTAAAATATTATATTGTCAGTTTTATTGCTACAATTGTGCAGTCACAAAATTCAGTTGGCGCTAAGAAAAAGCTAGTGACTGCTTTTTGAGTTTTTCAAAGATTAAATGTGATAAATAATGTAAACTATTTTGTATGTGGTAGAGCCACGCTGCAGTTATGTCATGGTTGTAGCACGAATGGGTCGGCTCGACCGGGGAAGGACCACGCTCTCACTGAATACCGGCGTAAAGTAACAACTCAATACTGCTGTGTTTCGTATGGTGAGTGTAGAGAACAAGAGACCAGTTTTACTGGATACAAGGCATTCCATCTTAGTCCTCACGGGTGACAACGCATCTGTATTTTGCTTCTAAATCGAGGATATATGTAGACGTCTATGGGCCACAGCAACCACTTACCATCAGGTGGACTGTGTGCTCGTTTATCACTTTTGCTTTTATAAAAAAAAGTCTTAACGGTTTTTGACTCGGATTGTTTAATTGTGTTTTGATGTCCTACCAATAATGTTTATTTTTTATAAGAAATACCTCGAATTTGCAATAGTTCACCAAATGGCTATTTGATAAGTGTCAATGGAAAAGTTACAGCCTATATACGTCCCACTGCTGGGTACAAGCCTCCTCTCATTTCTGAGAGGGTTTTAAGGCAAGGAAGTGTCCGCCGCGCTGCCCCAATGCGTGTTGGCGAACTTCACATGTCTTCGAAATATTGTTTTATTTTTATTTCTCAGACATGCAGATTTCTTCACGATATCTACCTTCACTGCCGAGCACTCGGTAAATCAAAATTGCAAAAACATTTGAATAAATAGTGACTCTTATTACGTTGCAATAAAGTGCTATTTAGCTCACTCAGCGCTAGTGCCTAATATTATACTTAACTACAATGTGCCTCTCTTTCTATCGTGTAGCTCTTATCTCTTCTGACGCTGCACTTGTTCCGTTAGGGTTATCTTGTGGTGAAATATTCTTACGACGCGAACAAGAAACAGAATAACCAAGGCTAAAAAAAGTTAAATGACTTTCACCGAATGCTAGGGAAAATGAAGATTCAATTACTCTAATGAACACATGAATGTCGTTATTAATATAATTTTCCATCACGTTTGCTACAAATCTAACCTTGGACAACAATTACTTTAACTACAAAACCATTTGGTTGTATTGTTGAATTCTGTTTTATTTTCCTGTTTATTTGTAGGCAATACAATACTTGTTACGTGCGGGATTCCAACCCGCTACCTATAGCATCGTTGACTCATTGCTCTTGCTATGGCTTAGCGCCACGATGCCGTTTTTCAGCAAACAAACCTGGGACTGCAATTTCTTTAAATACAAAACACATCTTTTTTATTATTCTTTTGAGTACGTTCCCCAACACTGGAATTTTCTCCTGAATTGTTGAGGGAGTTTATATACATAAATTGCTCAAATATAAATATTCATTATATATATATATATAAAAATATATATATATATATATATATAATATACACCCTTGTATATTATGTATAACAAATACATACACTAATTAAAATTATGAATTATCAAAATATACATGAAATACACTAAAATCCAAAAGACTTTAACATTTAAATAAAGTATTTTTCTTTATTTTTATTAATAATAAAAATAAAAAAAACCACTCTTAAAAGTTATTGAATTAGCCCATTTAGTTTACAAGAATTACTTATTTAATTTAATTATTTTTAAAAAATTACCTATATTAAAAATAAAAACTACTTTCTCAAAGTTAATTATTTACGTTTTATATATATATGTATATATATATATATATATATATATATATATATATATATAATATATATATATATATATATATATATATATATAATGTGTGTACATGTGTCAAACGTTCATTTCTAGTGAGTCGATCGTTAAGTATTGATTCGTTTTACGAACCGGCTCATTCGGGTCGATTATTTAAATGGATTATTTACATTTCAAAATCAAATACATTTACAATTCGTGCAAATAGTCAATCACAGGTCACAAGATATATTATACTCATAGATCCTGTCAATCGTCTGATCTGGATCCTTCAAAAAATGATTGCAATATCAATATGCGACCCAGGTCAAATAAACGAATCATTTATGATTGACACATGCATATTCATATACAGGGTTGTTTTTCAAAGAGTAGCTAAATTTTAAACTTAAGTTCAAATTTATAAATAATGATATACCGTCATGCATTTTTTGAAAGTACGAGTAAATAAAGCTTCTACTTTTATTTGAAATTATCCCAAATTGAATGTGATTTATGGGCTATAACGTTGTTGCCTACCGATCGACCCTTACAAATGTGTGCGTGTGCAGTCAAACCAGTTAAAATAATGCATTATCACGCATTTTTAAATTAAAATACAAAAAGGAACAGAATGTTTGAGATTTTTTAAATTAATTTTTCATCCTCATGGCCCTCTATTACTTATTCTATTAAAGTTATTACGAAATAACTCTTTATAATCTCCGTGCAAAGCCATTTGGTGACATAATAGCAGTCTTTATAATTAACATAAGTTTGCCTTCCATGAAGATTTGTACAATAAATAGATATAAGACGTTAGATATAGCAACCTTTTGTGATAGTAAATAAAAAATATTTTTAAAGTAAGCTGTGCTATTTAATTTATATCCCATTGAAGCAAACCCTAAAATAAAATAAATGTTTTTGAAGTGCTATCTTCTTTATGCATCTTGGGCACTTTTGGGGAAAAAGCACAGAACTCGCGTGACCGTCATACGGTGTTCACATCATGAAAAGAGCGCAATAAATTAAAATTTTATTAATATATTAATTTATTTTATTATTTTATTAAATATTTTTTATAACTCAAATAAAAAGGTGGGTCTACCTACGCTAGACGAGCAGAGCACGAGCGAAGCATGAGCCGAGCACAAATTCGTGTAGTGCGGACCGACTTACAAGCCTCGAACGAGCGCGCTTCGAGCGTTTGGCTCGTGCTCGACTTGCCTATTTTTTGACGAACACAAAGGGATTTACATCGCATGCATCGATTTGCATGTTGTAGGATCGTACGTCCACGCGTGACACCGAGTTTGTACTCGGCTGCTCTAGCGTAGACCCACCTTAATGTTTACAAGTTTGTGAAGTTAAGAAGTTTTCACTTCTGACTTGCAGTCTCACGACTGACAGATTATTTTTTAATAGAAGAGGCAAAGGAGCGCACGGCTCGCCTGATATTACGTGATCACCAACAACTGCTACACCAGGGGAATGAGGGCTCCACGGAGTTGCTTGCCATCAAGGTGGCACCTCTAGGGAATGAGGTGTAATATATTAGACAAATTTCATGGCGAGGAAGTTAATCTGTTAGGAAAATGTAAGAGTTAATGTTTCTTTAGCGATTGTATTATTATATATTTATAGTCGAACCGATTATAATAAAACTTTACGAACGGATAGAGAGAAATGCAATGAGTGATCTTGTCTGTATTTTTAACCGAAAATTTTGGAGTTTTTTTAAACATTCGACAAATTAATCAAATAAGATCTTTTATTATCTTAAATCTAAATAACGCATCACTAATGGATCCTACACAGGTGAAATCAGGGGGGTCACTAGTCTAGGAATCCAAAACAAATTCATTTTTATTGTTTAGTGTATTCTTTGTAATATTTTAGTCGTTTGATTCTGCGCCGACCATCGTCTCGACGCCATCGCCACTGTCGGGCTGAAATTAAAAAAAAAATCAATATGGTTTTTTTTCATAGAAGTTAATAGAAGTGTTACGAATGATACTCTCATTGTATAACTAATAAGTAGTGATCTAACATGGATACGCCTTCTGAATCCCGGGAAATATATTATTTATTTATTTTATATCATTATTATTCAGATATAATTGTGTTGTCAATGCGCTAATCGTCCTACGCTACCACTCGAAACAATTCTAAGAAAAATGTATTTAAGTAAATTATGTAAACAGAAAATAAAAAACTGTGTATAATATTATTTATCATGAAAATTTGTGAATCTCTCTTGATGAAAACATTGACTTCTAAGGCAGACATGTTTTTAATTTTTCAGTAAAGCCACAAAATTCAGTAAATATTTTTAAATAAAGCTTACGTAAAATATCGGAGAAATTTAACTGTAAGACGATATCAAATATTGTAATAGAGTGTTTAGAACACAACTGGGGCGAATCTTATGGCACCAATGTTGAAAACGTATTAGTTTATGCATGGGCAGTGTTGCGTGTGTGCTCTTGGCAGGACGATTATTAAAAGCATTTATACCAAATATATAGGGCGCTGGCTTGATACAGGCATTGGAGTCTCTTTATAGGGACTCTAGTGCTTGTGTTAGGATCAACGGGGTCTACTCGGACTGGTTTGACATCCATAAAGGTGTCAGACAGGGCTGTG